GCCGTTAGCCTTCTTGGCAACAAGAGCACACTGTTGACTCATATTCAGTTTCTCATCCACTGTGACCCCTAGGTCCTTTTCTGCAGAACTGCTACTCGAATTAGCATGCTGACGGGGCTACCGTGGATGGCAAAAGACATTCTATTCCCTGCGGTACATATTGGGCCAAATATTGATTTCAGTGGAGTTACGCCAGCCAAAAGTTTGGCCCACTCTTTAAATATCAAGGGGGTGATTCTCTACCCTGAAGTCACTGGAGTTACCCAAGCAGAGAAGTAGTGAGAGGGGAATCAGGCGCTGAGGACCCACACTCGCTCCATTACGGAGGCACGTGTTAGAAAACATCAGCAATAAGTGAGAGGGAGGCGCTGCCTGTCACTCAGAAAAAAGCCCTCGGGTTTGCTGATTGTAACCCACGTGTGACACCACTTAATTGCAGTTGTGTTAGGCCATGGATTTCCTTGACATACTCAGGAGGTGTTTACTATAAAAATGCACGTGGAGAGTTAAAAAGACCCATGTCAGCTGAAGTATCAGATAAATGCAACTGTATTCTGAATAGCGTCTTTCATCAACACTACAGCTCCAGGTCAGCAAAGCAGGGAAGTCCACGAGTCACGCTCTCTCGGTTCAGCAAAGCAGCTGATCGCACTGCCTTGAATGGGGCTTTGCTGAACAGGGAGAGCGTGTTACTCATGGACAGGAGTGCGGTGCTGAATTGGGGCCTATATCCCTAAAATGCTTTGAAGAGTGAAATAACACAGCTACCAAGGAGAAACGGTGGAGAGTGGCGCTTTTGTGGGAGAGCAGGGGAGGGAGGAGAGGGAAATTTTCAATCCAGATTTGAAATGAAATGCTCAAGTGATAAGACACAGGGGGTTTCTCCCGCTGCAGATTAGAAAGCTTCTGCACCAGGTATGGGCATATTACACAGAGGGCGAGAAGGCTGGCTCTAAATGAGCCAAGGGAGGGAAAAGAGGCAACATACGGGCAAGGAGGGAAGTCTCAACAAGTCCACCAGGGGGTTGGAAAACATGAGGGCAATTTTGAGATGGAACCAGAAAGAAACCGGGGGCAGGGGAGACAGTGGAGGACATGGGTGTTGGGTCACTACACTTTAAACATGTAAGTAGATCTACACCCGCTGGGGTAGCTGGTGCACACATAGTTAGGCGTCTGTGCATGCACACAGGGTGACGTTTGCTCTGGCTTTGTGCAGGGATCGGGGAATTGTTATTATTTATTTGTATTACCGTCGCAGCCTCTAGTCATGGAGTTCCCCAGTCCACCCGCTGCATCCAACATACCTGTGAGCTGCAAGAGCATCCGCTTTCGCTCTGCACCCCTCACTGGGACTGCCGGACCTTTGGTGCAAGGCAATAGCACAGCCCATGGGCCTGCTCTAGGCCTGCCCTCAAATCCCCTTGTGCAGTGTCCTGTTTAAGGCTGGCAGCACAGATGGGGTATGGACCTATGTACCTATTCAGCCCCTTCTTCATGGGGCATATGCAGCACAAAAGGCACCCCCCAGCCTGCTATACAGGGTTAACTAGGCATGAAGTTGGCCATTCAGGAGCTAGGCTGGGTATTTCCAAGTAGAATCCAGTGATAAAGCAGAACCCCCCTCCTCTCTGCTCGGGCCAATGAGCACCTGCCCAGATGGGAGCGCTTTGCTCACTACCCACAGCCTGGGACAAAGCTGCTGCCATCACAGACTTTAATGGGCACTTCTCTTTTTCTGCCTGATTTAAGACTTTCCTCGAAGCCACTGCAGCGCGGTGCCACAATCACCAACCAACTCCAGAGTGGGCCTGAAACACCGGGATTTTAACGCTCCGATCAGCCACGCCTCACGGCAGCTACTCCGTCTCTTCCTTCTGCAGACCCCATGCATCGCTTCAGGACAGAGCATGGGGAGGCACTTTGAAAGCGATTTGCTTAATCGGACGAGCACCAATTTCTAGCAAAAAGCTTTGCCGGACTTTTCTGGGTGCTCCTGGTGTCCCTTGGGGTTACAATTTGGGGGTGAGGGGTTCATGCTTTTTGGGGGGTTTTCCTGTAAAATGGATCCTCATGCCTCACAACCTCCTAAACGGTTTTACAACTTGACTCAATTTTTGGGGTCTTTTACCATAGGATCAGAGAGCCCAGCCACCGCGGCTAGCGGTTGCGATAGAAACAGCTCAGTCCTCATCCCTAGAGTTCTGCATCCACAGCAGCTTAGCTTCTGTGTCCCAGCCGCCAAATTATGCCAGAGTTTGAAGTCCTATTGGAAAAGGGAGGCCAGGGGTGAGCACAGAGCCCCCAGCAGTTCTACGCCAGGCGGCCAAACAAAGCACCTTTCCTATCAAAGCCACAGTGCCAATGGCACCAAGAAGCGTGATGTTCTGACTCATACACTTTATAAAACCTAATACACTAACAGCAGTGAACACCGACCTCCAAGAATGATCTGAGGTCTGGAAAACATGCCTTGTAATAGGAGACTAAAGAAGCTCAACCAATTTAGTCTAGTCAAACAGACTCTAGGAGTGATCTGGGGAAATTATAGACCCGTAAGCCTTACATCTTTACCTGCCAAACTGGTTGAAACAATAAATTAAAAGCAGAATAACTAAATAACTGGAAGATCATCATCTGATAGAGTCTGATCACCACGGATTCTGCAAAGGAAAATCATGTCTCTCTAAATCGCTTAAAATTCTTTGAATGTGTCAATAAAGTTGTGGATGAAGGAGAACCAGCTGACCTAATTTATTTAGATTCCCAAAAGGATTCTGACCAGGTTGCGCACAAGAAACTACTAACGACGCTGAGCAGTCACGGGGTCAGAGGCAAAGCTCTGTCGTGGCTGAGAGACAGAAAGCAAAGAGCGGGATTAAATGGTAAAAGGTTAACAGCAAGCATTCTCAAGGACTTGTGTTGTTTAATACATTTATTAATGACCCGCAAAGGGGGGTGAGCAGGGAAGGGCAAAATTTGCAGATGACACCAGGTTATTTAGGCTAGTCAGGACTAAAGAGAGGCATGAGGAACTTCAGAGGGACCTAACCAAATTAGGCGAATGGGCAACACGATGGTAAATGAAAGGTAATGTTGACAAATGCCAAGTAATACACATTGGAGGGGAAGTTAAAACTCCTCATACAGCTCTCAATTAACTGTATCAACTCAAGAAAGGACCTGGGCATCAGAGCTTCATGAAAACCTCGATCAAAAAGCTAACAAGATGTTTGGATGCGAAAGGAATAGGATGGTGAATAATATAAAGAATGGGCGGCCCCGCTGATCAGCGCCTTCCCCTCCCTCCCGCCGGCTGCAATCAGCTGTTTCGCAGCATGCAGGAGACGGGGGAGGAGCGAGGACATGGCATGCTTGGGGGAGGGAGAGGGAAGAGGCGGGGCAGGGGTGTAGCATTTAGGGAAGGGAGTGGGGGCGGGGCCTGGGACAAAGCTGAGGGTCGAGCACCCCCCGGCACAATGAAAAGTCAGCACCGGTGAAGGTGGGAGATTCCAAACAAGTAAAAGGAAATACTTTTCCACACAACATCTAATGTGATTGCAGAACAAGTCACTGCAGCCAAGAATTTAGCGAGATTCAGAGAAGGGTTGGATATGAAGAATAGCCACAATTATCATAATTAAGGATACAATTCTGGAAGGTTCTGCATGGCTTAAAGCGATCTCTAACTATTAAAGACCAGGATGAGACTAAAGGGGAGAAGGGTGTTTCAGATTATTCCACATTTGCTGCTGTAGGGTTCTTACACCCTCCTCTGAATCATTTGGTACAGTCCCGGTCTTATTAATCTCTCCTCGTATGGAAGCCCTTCTCTGTACCTTCTCCAATTCTAATAAATCTTTTTTGAGATAGGATGACCAGAATTTCAGATAGTATTCAAGATATGGGGGTGCCATGGATTTATATAGAGGCATTATGATATTTTCTTATTATCTATCCCTTTCCTAATGGCTTCTAACATTCTGTTAGGTTGTTGTTTTTTACTGGCGTTGTACATTGAGTAGATGTTATCAGAGAACTATCTAAAATGACACTAAGATCTCTTTCTTGAGTGGTAACAGCCAATTTAGACCCCATCATTTTGTATGTATAGTTAGGATTATGTTTTCCAATGTGCATTACTTTGCACTAATCAACTTTGAATTGCAACTGCCATTTTGTTGCCCAATCACCTGGTTTAGTGAGATCCCTTTGTAGCTCTTCACGGTCTGCTTTGGATTTAACTGTTTTGAGTAATTTTTTATCTGCAAATATTGCCACACCGCTGTTCATCCCCTTTTTCCAGATCATTTATGAATATGTTGAACAGCACAAGTCCCCGATCCCTGGGGAACCCCACTATTTAACTCTCTCTATTGTGAAAACTGACCATGTATTCCCATCCTTTGTTTCCTATCTTTTAACCAGTTATTGATCCATGAGAAGACCTTCCTTCTTATCCCATGACAGCTTACTGTGCCTAACAGCCTTTGGTGTGGGATCTTGTCAAAGGCTTTCTGAAGTCTAAGTGCACTATATCCACTGGATCACCTTGTCCACATGCTTGTTGACTCCCTCAAAGAAACCTAATAGATTTTCCTTTACAAAAGTGTGTTAATTCTTCCCAACATACTGTGCTCACCTAGGTGTCTGATAATTCAGTTCTTTAATATAGTTTCAACCAATTTGCCTGGTACTGAAGTTAGGCTTATTGGCCTGTAATTGCCAGGATCACCTCTGGAGCCTTCAGTCATGTGGTACAGAGGCTGGTTTAAACAATAGGTACATACCACGGTTAGTATTTCTGTAATTTCATATTTGAGTTCCTTCAGAACTCTTGGGTGAATACCATGTGGTCCTGATGACTTATCACGGTTTAATTTTTCAGTTTGTTCCAAAACTTCCTCTATTGACACTTCAATGTGGGACAGTACCTTAGATTGCCACCGACAAAGAATGACTCAGATATAGGAATCTTCCTCACATCCTCTTCAGTGAAGACCAATGCAAAGAATTTATTTAGCTTCTCCACAACAATTTTGTCTTCTTTGAGTGCTCCTGTAGCACCTTGATCATCCAATGGCCCCTCTGATTGTCATTCTTCTTACTTCTGATGTACTTAAAAAAAATTTTACTGTTAGTTTTTGTATGTTTTACTAGTTGCTCCTCCATTATTATTGTAGTATAGAGTAAGCGGTGAAAAGTGAATGAGATTTTTTTAAAATCATCCAAGTCTTTGGTGAAAGTGCTCCCAGGCATCAGAAAAATGGTCCCCATTTCCAATCAGAAGAGTAATCAAGTAAATATTGGAGAAAATATCAAACCAAACCTGAGATCCAAACATTATTATTATTATTTGTATTACTATAGCACTTAGGAGCTCCAGTCATGAACCAGGACCCCATTGTGCTAGGTGCAGTACGAACACAAAACAAAGACTCCCTGTCCCGAAGATCTTACAATCTAATTATAAGATAAGAGACAACAGACGGTTACAGACAGACAGGGGAGTACAAGGAAACCTTAAGACATCTTCTCACTGTGCAGTGGCAGTCAAAAAAGCGAACAGAATGTTGGGAATCATTAAGAAAGGGATAGATAAGAAGACAGAAAATATCATATTGCCTCTATATAAACCCATGGTACGCCCACATCTTGAATACTGCATATCTCAAAAAAGATATATAGGAATAAGAAAAGGGCAACAAAAACGATCTGGGGTATGGAACGGCTTCCGTATGAGGAGAGAGTCATAAGATTGGGACTTTTCAGCTTGGAAAAGAGACGACTAAGGGGGGATATGATTGGTGTAGAAAAAGTAAATAAGGAAGTGTTATTTACTCCTTCTCATAACACAAGGACTTGGGGTCACCAAATGAAATTAATAGACAGCAGGTTTAAAACAAACAAAGGGAAGTATTTTTTCACACAATGCAGAGTCAGTCTGTGGAACTCTTTGCCAGAGGATGTTGTGAAGGTCAAGACTATAATAGGGTTCGAAAAAGAACTAGATAAGTTCATGGAGGATAGCTCCATCCATGGCTATTAGTCAGGATAGACAGGGATGATGTCCCTAGCGTCTGTTTGCCAGAAGCTGGGAATGGGTGACCGGGGATGGATCACTTGATGATTCCCTGTTCTGTTCATTCTCTCTGAGGCACCTGACATTGGCCATTGTTGGAAGACAGGATACTGGGCTAGATGGATCTTTGGTCTGACCCAGTATGGCCGCTCTTATGTCATCATGACTGACAGTGGTCTCCGCGCACCAGCTACCTAACCATTGTCAGGTTTTTTGAAGGCATCACAGCAAAGGCGAGTTTTAAACAGGGATTTGAAGGAGGACAATGAGGTGGCTTTGAGGATGTTGAAACGGAGTGCCTCCCAGCATGCGGGGCAGCATGGGAGAAAGCATGCAGTTGCTTGTTTGAAAATTTAACAAAGGGGCAATCTCAAAACTTTGAGACAGATTTATTAAAACAGGCCCAACGGCAAGCAAAAAGTTATCCTTTTCTGTTGTTGCTAGTGCACATCATCAGCTAAAAATACTCCAAATGCAACGGGGGGGAATGTTATTTGCTCAGCTCATTTCCGATGGTCACTTTCAGTGACTAGGAGACTTCTTCCAGAGATGGAATTGACACATCTCCCCGAGATTCCATAAATGCTCTGCATCAGCTAAGACACCATAGGTTAAACATGACGCGACACCGTCAGCTCTCACATGTCAACAGTTTGTTGCCTGATTGCCGGATATCTCGGTATCTCAATCTTCTTTTCCATGAACTTTCTCACCCTCTGCGGAGTAGGAGTCTGAAATCTAATTCATCCTTATAGATCTCCTCTGGGAACAGATTCTAGCACCTAGCAGCTGTTCAATTGAGAAAGTCGGTGCTACTGCTCCTGTTACTCTGCAGCTAATAAAGAGGCAAATTATCCATTGCAAAGCATGCCCCTTCAGAAACACAGGCATTGTGCTTGCAAAACTTTCCCCTACCCCCACGCCCCTCAACTCAGGGGCCATATGGATTGTGCAGCGGGAAAGATGATGACGACAAAGGAAGAGAAGTAACGTCCCACAAAGCTGCCTTTCCCGTCTGGCTAGATCCTCTTGTGGCGCTATCTATGAGTTGTTCCTATGGATGCTGCCCATCTGGGAAGGACTGGAGAGCAAAGAGGTTTGGGATGCTTAGATTCTCAGATCTCTGGAGCAGGATGTTTGCACACCACCTATGTACTCAAAGTGTGTCATGAACAGTTCTGGGACAATCTACATAATAAGAGACTCCAAAACGGTGTCACAAGCATTTCTGGATTTATAGCAGTGCTCATCAGAACACAGAGAGAGCGTGCACGCAGTGCATACAAGGAAACACAAACACCAAGTGGCCCAGAGATGAGCTGGTCTCAGAACGAAGCCAGGTCAACACTTTCAAGTGACTAGTGATTCGGGGCGTCCCACTTGAGACACCTGAAATTCAGGCCCTTTCCGATGGTCTCAAACTGGGCGTTTTGAAGTTAGGCTCCTAAAACCACTCGTCCCTCTTCAAAGTTCAAGCCTGGTACTCTGCCCACAACCATGGCAGTCAGGCAAAAGCATTAGAGCCTCTGAAACACGAGCTTCGGTATCTGCATATAGCAATAAATCTCTGCAGAGCGCAGCGCTGAATGAGACGTATCCTGAGCTGGCGTAGATCAGCACAGTCCCACTGACATCAATGGGACAACACTGATTTATACCAGCTCAGGAACACTGGCCCAGTGTTAGGTTTTGCAAAACAATGTCAGCAAGTTTGTAGTTTCTGCTACAACCGTCCCAGGTCCAGAGCGGAATCTTCCTGTACCTCTAGAGTGGGGTGATTCTGGATAAAAAGTGATTCGTCCTGTACCTCTAGAGTGGGGTGATTCTGGATAAAAAGTGATTCGTCTTGTACCTCTAGAGTGGGGTGATTCTGGATAAAAAAGTTCCGGTTTGGTCCTCTTTTTCCCTCTCCATTCACCAAAGTGCTTGAGCATGTGCCTTCTTTTAGGCATTGAGAACCACTTACATGCACAGAGTTAGGCACACGCTTAAACGACTTGGTGAATTAGAACCTCTAATGCTACATAGCGTCAAAAGCTCAAAACAAAAACAAAATCTGGCCCTGACCACTGTTGGGGACAGGACCCTTGGCTACACAGACCATTGCTCTGATGAGGTCTGGCAATGCCCATGTTCCTCGCTTCCTTCGTGGAGATGTTCGTGTCTTTTTCTTTTTTAGGCCGCAGTGGAGCAGTTAGGTCAGTGCACAAGGTAGGCATAAAGGATATTGTTGAACGTGGAGATGCTTTTCTCTCTGCTTTGATTACACAGAGGATGCTGCATTAGCCAGCCTTGGTCTCTTCTGCCCACCTACATACATGAGCTCTAATATTGTGTCTTTTATACTGTATACACTTTGCACTGCTTTGCAGACAGTTAGTGCAGTGATTCTCTGGGCAAGACAACAGGTAAGAAAATATCTTTTAGCTTATAACTCTTTGGAACGCTGTGTCTTTCCATATATCAAGTCTGTGCTAGGGTAATGTGAATATTATTATTAATAAAATAGTACTAAGTATTTAAAGCGATGATAAATATAGAATGGGAAACAAAAGCACGAGAAGTTAAATGATTTTCCTATTGCCAGTGAAGGTATCCAGATTAGACCCCAAGAGTTTTCACCTCCTGCGCTCAAATCATTGCCCTCAAATAAAATAGCTGGAAGTCTAGACCACCGGAAAAAATATCCCCAAGTCACTAACAAATAAAAATCCACTCTAGTTTTTAAAAAGCAGCCGCTCTCCTGCATGCATAACAGCTGGTACAAATGTTACCACTTCATGTAGACATATATAAGTGCCTGATTTATGAGCAAAGTCAAGTACTTAGATACCAAAGTAGCAGGATAAAATGGCACCTTCAAAAGAAACCCACAAAAAAAGGCTCATTCAAGGCCCTTTCAAAGTGAGGATCAAAGAGTGTATGTAGAGTGCGCGTGTGCACACACACACACAGGGTAAATGTCACAAAAGACTTTCCAAGTATTTCTATCGAGAGTGTTACACTGGTTAAGCATGATTGCTGGGAGCAGTTCTGGGCAACGTCTGTCCAACTGGCTTGAGATGAACAGTCTGTAAAATAGTTTTCCCTTGTCTGTGCTCTGGAGTTGAGACTCTGGGAAGCCAGTGGAGCCTAATCCCAGTGAAAGAAGAGGCCACCAGACAGTTCTGTTTCACTCCTCTCAACTTCCTTACACAGCCAACATGGATTTCTGCTCAGAAATGAAACCCTTTAATGTACCGATTCACCTAGGAAGTCAACATTCTAAACGATGTGTTCCCAAAAGCCCAGCGAGAGACCAAGCCATGGCATTCTTCCAGGAACTGATTTGTGGATTTATTTATTTTTTTTTAGAAGCCTTGAGGCCTGCAGGGCACAGAGCTGTATTTACAGGCAGTCTTAAGGTCTGCTGCTAATCAGTCAGGGTGCACTTTGCCCACCATTCAGCCTCCTGTAAAGCTGTCAACAATGACTCGCTGTTTCCCTACACACGTTTAGAACTGTTCTTCATTAAGCCAAAAGGGAGCAGAGCCAGCCAGACTGCACTATGGATGCCCCTTTATTCACTGATAAACATTAAGAATTGCTCAAACTTTAGCCAGCCAAGCTTAGCAGGGCATATTCATGATCTTCCAGCAGACTCCACTCTGCAGAACGACTATGTAAAGATGGCACCTTCTTATAAAGAGACTTGTGGCTCTTTTGTTGTTCTACTGGAGGCCCTACTTATCAGCCAATGGTTTAAGGATTCCAGGTTTAGGAATGTCAAATCCTATTGGATATCCTTCTAAACAGGAAGGGACTTGCAGGCATAAGGGGTGGAGGCAAGGGCTGAAAGGGGAAGAGTTGGGGGTATGCAGGTAGGGCTGAAAGGGGCAGGGCAAGGGGTTGCAAGGGGGAGTGGGTTTATGTTGGGGAGAGGCCAAGGTCCAGAGTGCAAAGGGTCTGGGGATATGAAGGGAAGGACTCAGATGGGCTGAGACATCATCATCAGAGAGTATAAGGCCAGATCATCAAGTCTGACCTCTTGTAGCTC